GACAGAATAATGTAAGTACACAACTCACTAATACATGTTGATCATATTATGCCTTTAAATATAAGATTTCTTGCCAATGTTACCTATGAAACCGCTCACAGGTAAATGAAGTGGTTACCTCTGTTGGGCTCCTGTCCTCTGCTGGCAGAGAGCTGCTGAGGTCCTCTTGTTGTCTTCCAGAGAAAACAGACGGGATCACGTTGGACTTGAGGATTTTTCGGGGCGTTGTTTTCATAAGTTCTGCCTGTATGTCCGGTTCGTAGTCTTCTGGTTTAAAATGCTGGCTGCATACTCGAATATTCCCGTATTTACTTACTGGTGTGTTTTCGTCAAATTTGGGGCTGTGTATGGCCTTTAACCACTTTCTGCACCGCCCCGGGTCTCTTGTAGGCAGAGAGTGGAACACGACTCCCCGGGACCGGGCCTTCTTGTAGCCCTTACAGCCGGGCACAGAGCACATCCCCGGCATCGTTACACCAAGAAAAAAACAACCAGAGTGTGAAAGAAACGAGGAATTACACACTGACGACTGCCACCATGTCTGAATTGTCTTTACAGTGGCCGAAAGTCTGCTCCAGCAATTGGCGAACGTGACCGCTAAACGTAAACACAGGAGCGTAAAGACGTGGTCGCGTTGCATTGTGGGGGATGTAGTCGTCTTTTGGGGACAGTAACCGGGGCGATAGCTACATCGAGCTCTGCTGTATACATTTTATTTATTTATTTATTTATAAAAACACATGTGTTTTTTTTTTTTACCCCCATTTCGCTATGAGGCACAAACACAAAAAAAAAACATGTCAAATGAAACCGAAACGTCTCCATGACAACTGATCTCCATCCGGTGATAAGGAACACGAGACACGGGTTGAAAGACAGTTTCCGGTGAGATCTTATCAAATAACTTTTTAAGGTCAAAGATAAACCTTCAAGCAAAAAAATGTTAGATGTATATTAAGGAATACAATAAAAAAAAGACAAAAAGAAAATTATATATTTGTAATACTTACATATGGGGCTCAAAAATAGCCAGTATTAAATAAATACATAATACATTGGTATTATTTTTAATTACAAAATAAACCAATAAATCAAAACAATTAAGAATCAAGTCATTATTATGAAATGTTATGTTGTGTTTCTTATTTTCATATTGGGGTTTTTATTTCATTATAGTTGTTTTATTTGATGTTTTAATTTAAAAGACCAGTGTGTAAGACTCAGTGGCATCTAGCGGTGAAGTTGAAGATTGCAACCATTTGAATACAGCTCAGCCTTCCAAGTGTGTAGCAAAAACTATGGTGGCTGTGAAACCTGCAAAAAACACAAAAGGCCCCATCTAGAGCCATCCTTTGGTTTGTCCATTCTGGGCCACTGTAGAAACATGTTAGTTCAACATGGCAGACTCTGTAGAAGAGGATCTTCTCGCTCTGTGGATAAGAACAGTTCTCTAACCAGAAAGTTGATGTCCAGGTAAATAAACAAACCTGAGTTAAATAGACAGTATTTATTTTGAAGTGTGTCCAACAAAAATAGGCTATTTGTTGCATTATAGGAAGTGGTAGAGTCTAGATACTACAGTCTGGATATCTCAGCCTCTGCTGCTGTCAGTGATTCTGCATTTCACACCACATGCACAAGATCATGCACTAATACTGAAGAGCAAAGCTGTTATTTCCAGTAGAGAGTGTTTCTGCTTTGATTCAACTTTATGGTAATTTAAATTTGTTAGCTGCATTTTGTCAGACTGTTGAACTGTACTGTCTTAAACTGAGAGGTATCTGCCTACATTTATATGAATGTTGTTTTCACATTGAAAACAACGCTGCCCACCTTTGGGGGAAGATAAAAGTGTGTCATGTCCCTTCCTCCATATTCCACACAGTTGACTAATGGTTAATTAGTGTGTGGGGTAAAGAGGGCCCAGAACTGCCATGTGAACATGTTTTCTTACACATATACTGTACATATGTTTAAAGTCTCTCTATAATTAACTGTGAAACATATTTTAAATATCTGTGAAATATTAGAAATAAACAATAAAACGTTTTTTTTTTCTCCATCTGATTATCTGAGTATTTTCATTGGGGAAGAACATCAGCTGAAGTTGGTGTGATCTGAGTTTGTCCAACAGGTGGCAGTCTGGAATTAATAATACGGGTCAGAGGTGCCTCACATGGATCCATGTTTCAGTATATGACAAAACCTGCTTTAGATGATAAATAGTTTCCTCTTGCACAACTTTTAGATTTTAATGTAAGAAGTTCAACGTGTTTGTTGTCTAAATAGTCTGATAGTCAGTGTTACACTATAAACTGAACATGAGCACATTGTGGTTGAGCCCTGCAGTGTCCCTCATATAAACTATGTTCAGTGGGGTTTTTATAGTTAATAGAATTTATATAGTATTGGGTTACAGGACATGGAAATCCCACATGGCTCTCCTCTAAACTCCACATAGTTTAAGTTGCTGAAGTGTCCACTGGCTTTTTGTTCGGGCTCTTTATTCTCTCTTTGAGTTTGGTATTTTTGAGTAGTGTAAATACAGACTGAAATATTTGTTGCTGCAGGTTTCAGTGTATGTACATGCAGTACGTGTGGATGAGTGAAGGTCTGAACTGTTCCAAAAGTGTTGGTGGTTCTGGGACTGAGTTTACTCTTGTAGGTGTAACTGGCCTCATTCAATGAAACATCTGGATAAGAGAGGAGAGGTAACCCCAAGTGATTCACCAACAGCCAACTTGTTTCTTAAAAGACTGAACCATGTTTTTTTTATAGATTTGTTTTTATTTACATACTAATTAACTTGCCATGCACCAAAACATGTTGAAATTGAGATTATGATTAGGTTTAAGGTTAAACTTAAGGACGACTGAAACATTAATTGTTTAGCTAACACCAAAACAACTCTGATGTTGGTTGTTGAGTTTTGGTTTTAGCTGTGAGACAAACTCCCAGCAGACAACCTATTTGTAGGGTTTTGGGTCAAATAAAGTCCAGTCAATTGTGCACAAATTCATCCACCACTTATGCTTTCGACATACCCTGATAGTTTGTTTTCAGTTTCAAATTTGTTCCTTTTTTCATAATAGTTTCAGTTGGGACCCGCCTCCTCTTTCACTTCTTGCATTGGTGTAAAAATGCTATGAGAACACACTGAACTCCCACATGAAACTGTCTCTCCTCTGACCTGCAAGCCAGGTTGATAAACCACTGAACCTCATCCTCTCAAAGAGAAACTAATTCTAAGTTTCTTCATTCAGCATTGGTCACATACCATAAGAACATCTATCGCTCCAACTTTACCATATTATACAAATACTGGCTACTGTTAAGCATGTACATTTCTTTTGTGATTCACAGGAGTGAACTAGAGCTTATTAGCCTTCATGCAACGCTACTTCAATAATTAAACCATCTAAAAAACCAATTAATTCCCAAAGCAGTTGCAGGAGGTAGTGAGAAATAAAATTTGCAAAAGACTTCTGAAACACATCGATATTTCCATTAATAACACAAGTTGCGCATCCACAAGCCACAGCGATATCCAATTTCAGCCCAACTTCACTGCAGTCCTCTTGTCTGGTTTCTCGCCAGCGCGGAAGGAAAAGTAGTCCCCGCACGGTGGACGAACATGCACCGTCTTTTTACACTGGTCTTAAAGAGCATTTGACGAAAATATCAAAATACACTAAGCTGCCGTGATTATACGTAATAAATACTTTACACAGGCTGTTTTAGTTGCCTGTTCACATCGCCACATGTGTGCTTCGCGGAGCTGTCAGAGCCGACAGTCACAACCGTGTTATTGGCCCTGAACACACGTGTTAGGTGAACTGAGCTGTCATGTGAGGGGAAACACGCTCCTGTTGAAAACTTTTACAACTCTTCTGTGATTCCTGCTCTAAAAGGTGCATTAAGACATGTATGTATATGTCAGGATGCACGTTTCCTTTCGTGATAAAACCGAGGGGAAACTAGAGTCAGAGATATCATATGAGTGATCTTATCACAACTGAGGAAGTGCTGTCTTCCGTTTCATTTTTACACCCTTTTTCTTTAATTACAGCCTGATTTCAGCTTTAAACACAATGTGTACTCTGTTAAGACTTTATTTATTTAAATATATATATACAGTCGTGCTCCTGCAGTGCTGTCACCAGTCACAAACACGGCCCAATGGGGCTTTAACCAAATACTCACAAGTTCAAGAGATAGTTAGCGACGTCTCCATCCGTCCGTAGATTCCTCTCCACCTTTAACTTTCTCCATCTTGTGAAGCTATAAGAGATGTTGATCCTGGTTTTTACTCGCAGACGGTCGCTTTCCTTTCTGGCTCTCAGACCTTCTTCAGTACGACGGACCGGTTTGGACTTTTTCGCCGCAGGAGCGGAAGTCTGGTTAATATCCGAGGGTTGAGCTGTTGTGGTCCGTTGTTTCGCCATGAGGATAAATGTCCCTTTCTTCCTTAATGTCTTCAAATACAGCTGATATTCATACCAACAACAACTTACTGTTAGCTTGTTTTTAAATGCCCGCCTGATTTCCGCCAACAGCAACTGTACGTCCGCTCTGGCCCCTTCAGAATAAAAGCACCACCTCAACAAAAAGATGTGTCAAAAATTGCACAATTAACTATGTTTAAATTCCACTTATAGTTTGTGTTTAATTAAAAAACATCGAATGGAGTATACAAGAGGTTTCAAATAGAAAATTTGACATTACACAAAACCAAGAGTTACAACAAAAGCAGAAAACATATCAAAACTTAAATAAGGTGAAATAAAGTGTAAAAAGCACAAGTGAGTAGGTATATGAGAATAAATATGGATGAAATAAAAGCAACTAAGAGAAAGAAAAGTGTGAATGTTTTGTGTGAGTTAGTGCTGTGTCAGAGAAACAGGGAGTTTTTGTGGTTTTTCATGTGAAAAATGAGACACAAGAAAAGGGGATTTACAGAATTGAGTGCTTGTCGATGTAAAATGTACCTTTCTAAATATGTTTTATTAGTCCAAGGAGTTTAGCTACTCTTGTGTGTCATACAAGTGTAAATATTACAACAAATTATGAGGTATAATTTCAGCTTTTTACTAAATGTACAAA